TCGATCCAATCAAGGGATTGGATTGGATCTTGAAAATCAATCAATCAATCAATCAATCAATCAATCAATCAATCAATCAATCAATCAATCAATCAATCAATCAATCAATCAATCAATCAATCAATCAGCATTTGATCCAATCAGCATTCGATCCAATCAACATTCGATCCAATCAATGGATTGGATTGGATCTTGAAAATCCGATTTTCAAGATCCAATCCAATCCATTGATTGAATCGAATGTTGATTGATTGATTGATTGATTGAACAAATAAAAAAGAAAACGGGGAGGAGAGCATACACGACGACATATAGGACGATGGCGAGAAGGTGATGCAAGGACTTGGGGGGGTAGGGATGTCGACACTGCCGCAAACAAGATGAGGAGAACGAGGAGGAAGGAAAGGAGGATGAAGAAGCATAGAAGGAGGAAGAAAAACAACACTACGAGAAGGAGGAGGAGTATCGTGACAACGATCATGGCGCGCCAATGGACAAGGAGGAGGAGAAGGAGGATGGCGATGACGATCATGGCGTGACGATGGACGAGGAGGATGAGGAGGAGGAAGAGGAAGAGGAGGAGGAAGAGGAAGAGGAAGAGGAGGAGGAGGAGGAAGAAGAAGAATACTGGGAGGAGGAGGAAAAGGAGGAGGTAGAAGAAGAAGAATACTGGGAGGAGGAGGAGGAGGATGGTAACGACAACGTAGAAGAATAGGAGGCGGCGGCGGAGGAGGAAAAGGAGCAGGAGCGGGCTGCGGCAATGGACTCAAACTATGGACGACGAGGAGGTGGGAGAAGAAGTAAAGGAGGAGGAGGTGGAGGAGGAGATAGAAGAAGTAGTTTGGAGGGAGAAGAAGTAAAGGAGGAGGAGGAGGAGGGAGAAAATGAGGGTCGGACTCGGTCTTGTCCGCCTGCCTTTTTTTTCTTTTTTCTTTTTCTTTATTTCATTCATTCAATCAATCAATCAATCAATCAGTCAACCAATCAATCAATCAGTCCATAAATCAATCGATCAATCAATCAATCAATCAATCAATCAATCAATCAATCAATCAATCAATCAATCAATCAATCAATCAATCAATCAATCAACCAATCAACATTCGATCCAATCTATTGATAAGATCGAATGTTGATTGACTGACTGTTTGATTGATTGATTGATTGATTGATTGATTGATTGATTGATTGATTGATTGATTGATTGATTGATTGATTGATTAAAAAAAAAAAAATGGGGAGGGGAGTATACACAACGACGTACAGGACGATGGCGAGAAGGTGACGTGGGGACTTGGGCGGGTAGGGATGGCGACACCGCCGCAGACGGGATGTGGAGAAGAAGGATGAGAGGGACGAGGAGGAGGAGGAGGAGACATTCAAAGGGAAGGAGGGCGACGATGACAAGGAGGCCATGGAGGATGATGAAGAAGTGCACGAGAAAGAGGAGGATGAAGAAGAAGAGGAGGAAGAGGAGGAGGAGGATGAAGAAGAATAGAAGGAGGAAGAGGATGAAGAAGAATAGGAGGAGGAAGAGGAGGAGGAGGAAGAAGAAGAAGAAGACTGCGGGAAGGAGGAGGCGGAGGATGACGACGATGAAGAAGAAGTACAGGGGGAGTCGGCGGAGGAGGAGAGGGAGCAGGAGGGGGCCACGATAATGAATGCAAATCGGGACGCCACAACGATGGATGAGGACGCGGAGGAGGAGGACGGCGACGGCGAAAAGAAGGAGGAGGACGAGGGGGAGGAGGACGAGGAGGAGGAGGAAGAAGAAGAAGAGCAGGAAGAGGAGGAAGAAGAGGAGGAAGAAGAAGAGGAAGAGGAGGTGGAAGGGGAGGAGGACACCGACGGTGGACGAGGAGGGAGAGGAGGAGGTGGAGGACGAGGAAGACGAAGAAGATGAGGAGAAGAAGGAGGAGGAGGGGGAGCAGAATGGCCAGATGGAGAGGGGGTACTACGAACCCCCAAAAACATCACCGCAGGGCCGAAAACCCCATCGGACCCACATGATATTTTTCCACCACCCCGGACATTGGGCCCCGCTTGGACAACCGGGGGAGTTGTCCGATCGGATAACTCAGACTACAAAAGAGTCCCGGACGTCCGGGCTGGTAACCTAGCTATAGATGTTATTGAGGTCTCCTCTAAATCTTAGTAATTAAGTAATTTTGATATGAGTGGTACACATTCAACTACATGTATCAACTTTGTATTTTATACGTAGTGTTTTTCAAATAATTTTGCCTTGTTCTTAATTTTTCAGATTTCGAAGTCGATTATGTACATAAAACAACAAGTTGAACTTATAATCAACTCAACAATCATACTTTGTTTGTCTCATGGTCTACATACAGTCGATAAAATTCATGTATACAAAGTTATTGGATAGATAAATAAGAGATTCATATGATATTTCGCATTCCTAACAGTGACTCATCAACTACACAAGTTATGAAAGCCTTAACAGTCGAAAGCTGACTTTTTGAAACTTTTAAAAGCTAATAGGTCGGAACAAAGCGGAGATCGGTGGTGATGAAAAAAATAAAAGAACATCAACTTTGGCGATCTTTTACACCGGAATCTAGGGGATCTATGTGTTAGGTTTTTATCTTTCTATAAAAAAAAGACTTAAAAATAAAATTTGCACCAATTTGGCAAATTTTATTTATTTCGAGCTGTGATATGCAGGCCAAATTGTTTCACAAAAGGGAAAAAGTACTTCAACTTTAGTTACTTTCATGCTAAAAATAATAAGCCAAAAATTTTTAAAAAAGTGGAGCTCGTAGATGAGGTGGTTATCGTTCAAAAAAACATGTTAAGAAATAAAGTAAGGGACTGTAAGACTTCTAAAATTGTATAAAACATCGCCCCCATACATATATTTCTTGTTTTCTTTTTCACTTTTTCCGAGACTGTGCTACCAATAGGCTTGATGAAGTGTTGCTACTGGTCCAGGGGGATTTTTACATATGAGGGAGCGATAGTTTAACATCCTCTTATACGTTAAATTGTAATGCTCCAAGATCTACAACTTTATAACCACTTAAATGTGTCTGTGATCATATGAGGCTCCCCCTTATCTTCGATCAATTGAGTAAATGGTGACCCAATGATGGAAACTCAAATGCATATTCATGTTGTTGGAGACACTTCAATACAATATTGTCCTTAATGTTTCTGTCGTACGATAAGTGAAGCATAGTCGTTTCTTCAACAACATTTCGATCTTCATCATCATGCCCTCTCACTATCCCTTTGACACCAATGTGTATTCTCTTTATTGATTGCTCCATCTCAACTGTCTCAACAACATTTACCATGCCCATCACCACCATCCACTTTGTCTCGATCACCACCTTTGTCTTTGTTACTAAGACCACCTCTAATCACCCAGTTGAAGCTAAAAGTCTATCATAAAAGGACTTAAACCACTACTTATCTGCGCCTGTTTTTGTCGACCCTGATTTTCACTGCTCGCCGAGTTTTGTCGAGCTTGGGTTTTGTTTTCATTCTTTTCGACTACTATCAAAAAAAAAAAAAAAAAAAAAAAAAGGTCTGAATTACGAAAAGGAACAACCATGGGTTTACAGCCAGACGGTCGTATGCAAAAAACAAAAGCAGAATAAACAAACACCCCATTGGACGTGATACCAGGTACATACCTACCCCAAAGTAGTTGTGTGAGTATGCCCTTACCGAGGGCGTTACGACAGGGGTGTCAAAGCCATAAAATAAGAAGAAAAAAAAAAAGCGAACTTAAACTTAGGGTGGGAAAGAAGGTTAAACATTCTGAAACCCTCCTCCACAAAGTGTCAGCAGTCTGTCGTGGACTGCGTAGTGCCTTGCTGGCAGGGCATAAAAAAAAAAAAAAAAAAAAAACAAACCCATAAAGAAGGAAAATTTGATACTGACCATAATAGCAGTTAGATACAAACTTGTGAGTTTTTGTGTGACCACAACTTGATGCCTTGCCTTCCCCGACATGGTCGTTTGTATTTCTTTTTGTTTTTCGAAGGGGCTCACAAAGCCCAGCTGCCGAGCTTGTCTGACCCCCGAAAAGTGTAACTGCCAGTTCTCCCATTTTTTTCAATATTGAGCGAGGTAGTAGTGATTTAACGAACTTAAAAAAATAAAATAAAATAGGACGACAACCTTCAGATATTATCATTGAGCTTACTGCCCCAAGGTAATTTTGAGTGATTTTATTATGTTCATATGAATCTGTGTACCACGGCGAACGTAATCGCGTATTTGCACGAACAACTCGTGAACATGTTCGGGCGAACATAATTTTTTTCCGTAAAAAAAAAAAGAAAAATTGGTTTTTGATTTTGAACTGATGATTGGCTACGAATCAGAACATGACTCCTAGGCAAAAGTTGCTTGTATTATTATTTTACATAACGTATATGTTTTTCAAGATTTTTATGAGAACGTTTTTTTTTTATAAAATTTTTTTATGTTTCCGTTCGGAGGGTTTTTGGCGCTTGTTGGCATTCGCTTCCAAACGTGAACACGGTGCTACGTACATCTGAATGTATCTGGATTATAACTTGAGTTTGTATTTCAACAATTCATGGAAGTACCAACTAAGCTAGTCCTGTTGGTACTTAAGGAACTTTTGATACTTGCTACTTTTAAACTCAATAATATATGCTCAAGTTTCTCAACCTTAGCAATCAAAATGATTTATCAAATAATATAATTTAATTTATGTCATCCAGTCCCAGTCTGATGCTGAACATTGCAGTGAACTTCACTTGTCCAATTTTCTCGTAAAATTCGTACATTTCTTATTGCCATTGCAACCTAAGTATAATTAGGAATAATCAGAGTGCTAGTCTGATAGATGATATGGTGACCCCATTTTTCTCCTTCGGTGGATGCATAATTTATTTAGAATAAATTAGATTCATGAACCAACTGAAAATGAATGTCAAATTGATACATTGTCGAAGGACTAAACAAACACTAGCGGTCTATTAATGTTGTGAGAGTTTGCATAATAAGAGAGCTGATTGTGAATAAATTTTTTGTATGACCACCAATTTGTTGCATAAGCAAGTCTAGGTCATTGCACTTGAAAGTTGAAATATCTTACACAGTGTCTGAAACTAATGAACTATGGTTAGCCTTCAAGGTTATATCTCCACCATAACTGAATCATCGTCCATCTCGGGGGTTATATGATACCAGCGGGGATAAATCCAATTATAGAAGAACCTCCCCGCTGTCGAGCGCATCGGTCCGGCACCGCACCACGGCAGCGCGGGACTCTCCCGGCCGCGTCACGCAGGAGTTGGTTTAAATCCTTTGTCGCAAAAAATACATGTGGAGCTTTCTTAGGCCGCTCCGTCCGAGTGCGCCAGCCATACCTCTCGCGAGCCCCTACGACAGGATAGGGTCTACGCGAGGCACGACTTACCTACACTTTACGGGAGCTGTCACCTCCCTTCAGTGGGCGTATCCCCGCCGAGCTACCGGTCCACAGTACGAAAGTTAATCAGTTGCAATCGCAGAGGTGGACCAGCCGAGGGCGTTTCTCATTCGTTGTAGCATAGGGGGTACACGCGGTCGTACGCCTCTATCGAACCCGCACGCGAGCCGACATCTTGGGGGGCTGAAATCCCAAGCGGGGCTCGTCGTCGGTCGACTAGGACGCATCCCACACACCACGCGCACTCCACTTTACGAACACACACACACACACAAAACAACACAACACGAACAACGCGACAACGCTCCTAGCCCCTCGGTAGCCAACCCATAACTTTTCGATGCGGAAATCAAATGAGCGTCGCGCGCGGGGCTTAGTATAAAACCGCGTGGACGCAGGGCTAACTCATATCGACTCGCAAATGCAAACATGCGCAAGCAGTTGTAACGATGGCGTACTACATAGTACCCATACTCACACGGTCCTCGTTCGTCTCGAGGGTCGCATTCGACACACAAGTGTCAGCTGACACGCGCCTTGAGGGTTAATCTCTTGACGCTGGACAACCGCCATGCGTGGTTGAAGACCACACATCCTCTTCTGCACTCTGTGCATAGTAGGTGGTACACAGGTCCATACCTGTGGTGGCAGTCGCTTCTTACTGCTCTAGAGATGAGTCCCACTCCGGGCCTGGACGAAAGTCAAGGGGTTTGA